TATTTTAAATCTATGAATGTATTTACGGTCCAACTAATTTTACATAATTTGCCTTCCCCTAATATTTAGTGCTGTAATCCCGGACTACAGGTGGTAAGAGTGAGGTTGAAAAGTGCACAGTCTTGATTTTCATTGGAAATAATGATTTATCGGCAACAACTGCAATAGTACGTCAATTCACATTCCATTCGAACATCCATTTTCATTGCAATATTATGATAAAAATTTAATAAATAATATTATTAATAACAGAAAAAAATCAATGTTTAATACTTTGTTTAGTAGTTTGGCGTTATACATGTATATTGTATAAGTGTAAAATAATATAAATGTAAATAAGTAACCCGATGTATCGTACGTATTTTACAAAAGGATATCCAAGGCTGAGCATTAACGAGTTAAAAATTTAAATTAAATTAATACGTTAAGTTAATATTAACTAACTCGTTACTTAATGTTTGAAACTAAATGTTAACTTAATAAGTTAAATAGTAACATATTTTTTTTTTATAATAAGAAAATGTGATAAAGGTTATTAACATATCATGAGATTTTGTTGGAAGAAGCTACTCATTGATAGCACTTTCTGCTAGCTTGATAATTATTTATTTATTAAAATAATTTTTTTTTTTTAATATAACTTAATTTAAGAGATCTCGGCTCCATTTAACAAATTTAACTTGTTAACTACTTTTTAGTCATATAATTGTGTAGATAGGTACTAAGGGAACTACGTCCGTGTACTTAATTAGTTTTCTTGTTAACCATTACGCAATTATCACTCCTCATTACTAAAATTACTAAAGACCGGATTTTGCATAAATCATTACTCATTACCTAATGACATAGTAACGCATATGATATGCCACACATTACGGAAATACGTTATTATTTGAAATTATTAAAATAATTAAATAACTCAAGGGGAAAAAATTATTTCTGAATATCTTTGTTAACGCTCTGTTTAAAATATTTATACTTCACTACTTATAATTTGAATTACGGTATTGTTGTTGTACTGTACTCATTGCTTCATTCAGTGCTTCGTTGTACAGTACTACAGTTCGAATAACATTTCGTCAATTTCATCGATTTTTAAATATTAACTTAGTAAATTTTTTTTATTAATTAATTTTTAACTTGACGAAGTTATAAAAAATTTATTTGTTAACTTTTAACTTAACTTACTTTTTCTTACATTAACTTAACTTTGAAAGAGTTTAAAAAAAATCGTTAATTTTCTCAGCCCTGATACATTAGGGTTCGGGACTTATTGCACACAAATTTCAGGAAATATGCATTCACATATTATGCACTTAAAAACCGAAATATACAACTGAATATTCTTTTAGTAGCAATTAAAATTTTTTATTTATTCAATTTAATTAAGACAGTTTTTTTTAAATACCTAGTAATTTTTCGACAACAATAACACTATAAACGATAGTCGATAACCGATAGTATACGCAGGAACGATTAGGTATTTCCCTAGTTGCCGAATCCAGTCAATAATGTTATTATCTCATATTCATTTATAAACCGATTTATACGGAGAAACAATTAGGTATTCCCGTAGTTGCCTGTCATGACTGGTTCTATAATTAGGTATATCGAACAACGTATGAAAGTTTAAAAAAATATTAACCTTAAAAACAAAATGTGCTTCAGTATTTTAGGAAATATTAATTTTCAGCGAGATATGAGCATTTTTGATTTGTGTTATTTCACATTCTCGTATCTTACCCAAAAATGAAATGATCGAAAATCCGCCGACGCTTAAGCATAGATTATGCACTTACCTAAAAGTTTGATAATACTGTTTGATTCACTCTAATATCAAAACTAACGGTACACAATTCAAACTAGTGAACGAAAATTTGCCATGTCGTAAGTTGGTAAGACGGAGACAACATAAGCATGGGTAGCATCCTCTTAACATATAACGAAAACTGCTTAAAAGATATGGCATGAATAGCAATTAAATTGCCAACATTTGTCAAGTATGCGTTTCGCTCGGAAATACGCAAAAATATGCTTCATTAAAATCGTTACATGTCAATCTATTATGAATTAAAGCAAATGTATATCTTACGTTGACTATTCCGCAGTCATTATTAAACAATATGCAAATGCAACAAGTCCCGAACCCTAGTGATGATGTATCGCTGATCAGGCGAAAAAATGATTGATAAACTTGAGCTAAATAGGTATATTACGTAATAGGACGGCAATGATCAAATTATATAAAAGCGTGATACCGAAAACCGAACATAGGTATTATAATATAATAACAACTGACCTCACCTTTACTCGGACACTCGGGCTAGTGGTTTAGCAGTTAGCAAAGACACTATGGTGACCTGTTGATGTGGGTGGCTGGTAGATTTAGACGGAAGCACGGCCGGAAGATACACTCGGCAATGGAGCACGTTCGACCGGAGCAATATGTCGTCGTCACGAACCACGAACACCGACGCGACAGTGCGAACGGCTCGCAAGACCAAACCAAACTAAAGGCCGTGGGGGAACTAGGCCGTACGATACCCGGCAATCGGTGGATCAGGCAAGGCTCGCGGGGGATGGACCGCGACCTTGTCCCGTTCCTCGATGAAAAATAGATTCTCGGCACATATATATTGTGTCCAGCCGCTGCGGCTTATCAGGCACCAACAAATGTCTACAGTCATAACACAGTACACAGATTACATTTTTAATTTAAATGTATTTAATCTGTGAAAATAATATATTTCAAAAAAGGGTTTATTATATTCATAATATATTTATATAAATTAGAGTTTCCAACATTTACATGGGGCACGTGTCTTGGCACAAATATTTTAAATTAATTTTCATAATATTTTTAGCGTCTATTCTAGAATTGACGGCGGGCATCTATCAGGTCTTCGGGATTGCCGATTCGATAGCGATTGGGTGTTTCCGTCGAATGTTCTAGAATCGATGATATTAATATGGTATACGCGAATAGCTTGTCCTTGTCATTAGTCAGTAGTCACTAGTCAGTCGTTGATCGGTTAAAATTGACGCTGAACGTTTCACGTCTGTCGTCCCGATACGTGGTAATGTGTTTGTTTTTTTTTGAAAGTATGTAATAAATAAATATGCTAATTTGGTATGAGTAACCCGTAATGATATTTATTATTTTTATTATGTCAAGTGACCCAATTAATAAAATATAAATAATTGCTCCCGTAAGTTCTCCGACAATTTAAATAATATAAATCTTGTAAATCGAATAACAACGAACAAAAACGTACTAAGACCTAAGGTGGTCATTATAATCGTTTGATGATTCCCGGTTTGATTGTTGATTTTTAAATACTCAACCCATATTATGAGAGAAATACCTATGGTAGGCACAGAGCAGTAGCAAGGACTTAGAGAAACTTGTCCAAGCCATGGGCGCAAAGTCAGAACGAAATATAGGTTAGGTACCTAATGTTAAACCAAATACCTACATAATAATATTAATAATATACGTATTTTATTTAGAACGTTCGCCGAATAGAAAAGTATACAATTATGATAGCTATACTATAGTATGTAATAATAATATTACATGTATAGTATACAAATTACAATTATTTACAATTGTTCACAAAACAATATGAAGTTATTACGTTATGTCGAGTGTCCGGGTGATACTATCTTTTATATAAATAAAACTAAGTCGGGTTAGTTACACCGTTTATAACTCAAGAACGGCTGGACCGATTTTGATCATCTCTGACTTGTTAGATTCGTCCCCGTACCGAATAGCAGAATAACTATTAAAATATATCGGAAAGATTTGCGTTTAAAAAATAAACAAAATATTAATCTAGAATGATATTATTTGACCGGTTTAATAATCGTATTAAAGACGTATTAAAATTCCGTATTAATATTTTGTTTCCCTGTTCACCGAACAGCACTAGATAACGGGTCGCCGTGTATTCGTCGAAAATACAAGCTCAATGGCGTCGGCGAATCAGTGGCGTTTATAGAAATTATTTTCAGTATGGGCAAATTTACCCCCACCATAGCTACAACTAGAAATTTTTTTTCTAAGCTTTACTTTTCGCGTCCTTTCAGTTTATTCGTATTTTGATTGGTAATTATAATCATGGACCATGGTATCAGTCAGTGACGTGAATTTTACACCTCAAAAACATCATACTAGCATAGGACACAACAATAATAGTAGGTACGGACTACGGGCGTCGGGCCATGGTATCATATAAATATATAATTAAATAATTTAGCAATGTGCATAAAATGTTTTAATTTAATCTGCAATTTCCCTATGGACCCGGGCCTAGAAGCCCCCTCCCTATATACGGCACTGCGGCGGATAGTGACGGGATTCCCTGTAAGCAGGGCTGGGCAGTATCTTAGATACTAGCATTTGAGATACGTATCTTAGATACAATTGTATCTTGTATCTTGTATCGAGATACATAATTTGAATGTATCTTGTATCGGGTATTTAAATACTTTATTGACTTGTATCTAGTATCTTTTTATGATTAAGATACTAGATACCTACATTCAAAAAATATGTTTCATATTTCATTTATATAACAATTTTCCCTTGAGCCATCATAGTTTTTACTAGAGGCTAATAAAAAAAAAAAAAAAAAACAATTTTCCCAATTGCCCAATTAGTAATAATATGTTAGATAATAATATATTAGATTAAAGTAACTTTGGTGTCTGGCGATAATATTATATCAGCGATAAGACTTCGTTGATCACCGGTCGTCGACTGACGACTGTTCGTTCATATTCTCTGTCTGTCTCGTGCGTATTTATGCATCTGTGCGGTGTTTGTGTAGATTGACAAAGTGACGAAAAAATTATATTTTGTGCATTGTTTTAATATTTGTAAATATTAATTTAATATCTATATATCTGTTATTAAAAACATGGATAACCAAAATGTTAATATTCCAAAATGCTTAGATGGCAAATTATATACGATTTTAAATTCTGATGAAATAATAAATGTAAATTCTAATGTAAAAGCTATGTGTGTAACATGTAAAGAGAAAAAAAAAGAAAACAGAATTATTTCAGGAGCAATAAATTCCACATCAAATTTTAGACTACATATGAAAGTAAGTACCTATTTAAAATATGGAAACTTTATGTCTATAATATTAACCAATTAACCAATTTATAACATATACAACAAATATATAATGTACATATGTACCACAACATTTATAACTATATGTTTATATAATATTATGTAGAGTTATTAAAATTCACAATTTATAATATTATTTAATAATAACAATATTGTACAATTAATAACATTTTTTAGAGATTGCATATGTCAGAATTGGAAGCATATGACGCGTACTTAAAAGACGGAGGACGTAAAAGAGCAGGTACATCAAATGATAATTCTCAAATTTCAACAAAACAAAGGAAACTGACTGAATTTAAAAGTACTGATCATAAACAAAAAAAATTAGACAAAAATATTATGCGTTACATTATTCTTGGTATGAAACCACTGTCTACAGTGGAAGATGGAAATTTCATAAAAATATTTAAAGGTAACTCCATGAAATGAAAAATATTATACGATATTATTAATTCTTTTATTGCATAGATTTAGATTGTGATCTTACAATATACTCTCGAAGAACTCTTAGTCGCCGTATAGATGGTGATTATATAAAAATAAACGATGCAATTAAAAATTTGTTTGTAATGAAACAGTTGTTGGTCACGACAACTGCTGATATTTGGTCCACCAAACATCGCAGTTTTATGGGTGTTACAGCACACTGGGTATTTAAAATATAAACATATATTATGTATTAATTCAATAATAATTGTATATAATATGTTAATTTAATGATTTTTATAGATTGATTCAATTACATTAGAACGACAAAACTGTGTACTAGCATGTAACCGTTTTACCGGAAAACATTCATACGATCGTGTGGCTGAAATGCTTTATAACATTTTGGGTGAATTTTCTCTACGGCGTGAACAAGTGGTATCAACAATTACCGATAATGGAAGCAATTTCGTGAAAGCCTTTAAACAATTTGGTTGTGATTTTTCGAGTAGAGAATGATTCTGATTATTATGGTAAATATGAAGTACTAAATGTATCATAAAGAATTGATTATGTTTTGTTATACAACTTACACAATATATATTATATATTATACTTATAGGTGAGAATAATGATGTACAATATCTGAAATTTAGACCAATTGTCCCTGATAATAATGTGAATGAAGGTGATCAGATTACGTTGCTACCTCACCATTTGAGATGTGCCAGCCATACTTTAAGCTTGATAGCTACTTCTGATTTCATGAAAGCTATTAAAATTTTACCAGTTAATAGATTACATGTAGCAGCCATTGAAAAGTGCAATTTTTTGTGGAACATGTCAAGACGTCCGAAATCTGCTGAAGTTATAAAAAGTATATTAGGTTGTTCTTTAATTTATCCTTGTCCAACAAGGTGGAATTCATTATTTGATTCGATTAGTCAACTTCTTATTAATAAAGCAAAACTAAATACTGTTTTCGAACATTTAAATACTATTAATACTAATTATGTTTTTAAAGATTTAGATATAGAGTATTTAGATGAGTTTGTAATTTTATTAAAGCCAATAGCATGTGCTTTAGATTATTTGCAAGGCCAAATTAATTGTTACTACGGTGTATTATTACCAACATTATTTTCACTCAAACACCGGCTTGAATTGTTAAAAGAAAAACAATTAAGGCATTTGTCTTCTATGATATCTCCATTAATATTATCCTTGTCTAATAGATTTGATTGTTTTTTAAATTTAACACCTGAAGCTAATCATGCTATTTTAGCTACATGTTTTCACCCTACATTTAAATTACGTTGGCTCCCAGAAATAACAACTGATCGAGAGAAAAAAAGAATTCAACATTTATGTATTAATGAAATTGCAATCTAGTGCAAAACAAAGTAATTCAGAAATTGAATCCCATTCAGGTGCAGAGTCAGAGTCAGAATCTTTTATTATTTTTTCTTCTGAACCAGACCAGTTCAGACAACAGTCAAGTAACGAGCTTGAATTTATAAGTTTTTTAAATGATAAAAATAAATCACTTAGTTGTTTAGATAATTATCCAAAAATAAAAAAATTATTTATAAAATATAATACAAGCCTAACCTCTTCAGCAGCTGTTGAACGACTATTTTCTTTTGCTGGGCTTATTCATTCTCCATGTAGATCAAGTATGTCAGATGATACTTTTAAAAAATTAGTCTCTTTAAAAGGTAACCAAGAATTTATTTCAAAAAATGGGATATAAACAATATAATTAAATATTTATATAAATTACCTACATTTAAACATTTAATAAATAATAAGTAAACATTGCTAATTTATAAATATATTTATTTTTTTTATAACGTTTTCTTATTGTGTACGTAATTTTTTTATAGACTGTAAATCTTTTTACCTATTATTTCGTTTGTCTATTATTAGTATTATTATTGTTTTAAGCGTATCTAATGTTATTTAAAATTATATTGTTAATGATCAATGCATATACCGTATTATTATACATTTATAACCTATAATATAATATATATTATATATGATAAAATTATATCGAAGGTAAATTAAGAAATTAATAAAAATAAATAAATATATTAAGTATCTTGTATCTTACAGGTATCTCAGATACATGTATCTTGTATCTAGTATCTTTAAAAATATTATAGTATCTTGTATCTTGTATTTAGATACTAGTCATAAATGTATCTTGTATCTTGTATTTAGATACTTTTTTTGAGGTATCTTGCCCAGCCCTGCCTGTAAGAAACGAGTACTGCCTCCAATAATAATCCGAGTTGCCTTCATCTGAAAATTATTTTAATGATAGTGCGAATGTCGTCGTCGTCGAGGACATTACCGAAATCCCGTGTAATAATATTATTATTTTGGAAAGAAAAAAAATTTGGTAGGGGCCGCCTAGAAAAGGTCGCACAACCGTCACAATCGCGATTATTCTTTATTTTCCTTTATACGCCTATGTATATAACCCTGGACTATTGAACTTCTAACATTGTTTGTATTTATTTCATTACATTTATTAAAATCATAAATTAAGTTTAGCTAAAGGATATCACTACATTCATTGACTGTTAGGAGGTACGAAGTTTGCTGGCTCAACTTACTAGTAATATGTAAGCAAAGAGCTGTTAGAGCTGATAATATGTTTTTATTTTTATTTGAAGTTTATACTGCTACTTTTACCACCACCCAACACACACCACACATGCGACAGATACCATGTTTTGAAAATTAATTTGCATTATTATTAAATATTAGGTACATATTAAAGTTAAAAATATGATTACAAATGACTTATTATAAGACTTTCGTCGTTATATTAATATGTTATGTGTAGGTAGATACTCGTATTTCAATATTTATTAGTTTTATATAATTCCTTGAAAAGACACTGCTAGAAACTCTACAATAAGTTGTTTATTATTATACAACATTTAATTAACTTATTTATTTCTAATATTTATTTATTAATAAAAGTTGTAAATTTGTAATTTTTGTTTTAATACAAAATAATAATTTGTAAAAATGTAAATATTTTGGTAGTATACAAGAAATTGTCCATGTGTTAGTTTTTGTCAATCAAATTTGAATTTAAATAATGCACCTACAAATATTTAGTTTAATGGCAATATTAAAAAAAAACATTAAATAAAATTCATAAAGGTAACGACTTGATATTTGGAGTAAAGTAAAAATAAATATTGTTTAATGAACTCTCAGACCTTGTAGATGTAGAATATTGTCGGATTTTGATAACTATTTATTTATCTGAAAGAAAAAAACCTTCTACAGGCTAAATTTAACTCCGATGTTTCTTATTTTATTTCAAATAATGGTGTAAAATAATTCGAAAAAAGCATAACATTGACTTATTTTTAAAGGAATATTTATAGTGTTGGCGTTTATTAATTTATTCGTAACTTACATAATACAAAAAAATATTAAATAACTATTAACCTAACTAACTACTAACCGCGTATGCCAGGACGGTCGACGCTGTCGGCCGTGTGTCACTCCGTCGAGCAAACACCATACAATTACCAAGGTAAAACTGACGGCTGACAGGCCGTGGTTACTCGTAGATCAGTCTACCGGTTCTAGAATATAAATAATTATTAATAACGTACGTATATACCCAACATTATATTATACAGTTTGAGATTAAAATATTGAAAAACCGATTGTGGTAGACGAGTTATTGCGGTACAATTATTATAGACTATAGAGTGGAAGAGTAGATGAGACACAGAGACAAGGATCGAAGGTAGGCGGCGGTCGCGGTCACAATGAAAATAAGCATGCTGCGTTCCATGGCAAATGACGTCAATTGGTATAGAACCAACACTAACAGTCGAAAATGAATAACTTTTTTAAAACGTATAAGTGTATGTATTTCACTATTTCATCAATATTATAGATAATGTAATAAAAAGTAATATAACCAAATATACATCAAAGTATAACATTAATTGACTCATGTTTTCTTATTTATTATAATAAAATAATACATTTCTGAATATCATAAGTTCTACTTATAGCCATTAAAAAAAATCAAAAATCGTATGTCACAACTTTTTTTTATAAGCGTATAAGGATCAAATTTTTACGAAATTGATAAAATTGCGAACATTTTAAGTTATTTTGTAGTTGAAATGCATTTAATTTTAAGTATAAATACCTAAGGTTTCAAACTGATACATAGTTCTCCATAAGTTTTTCTTCAAACATCTGTAAAAAAAACTACCACACTAAACTAATATTTATTTACGTGCGTTTGAAATTTAAACTTTTACGAAATAACGTAAAACAACGATTTAGCCGCAAACGATTTCTGATATTTGTTTTTTAAAAAAGAACTATTATAAACTATTTTATGTAAAATATAATTATTAATATTATATAATATATAATAATTAATATCAATTGGTAAGGTTAAATATGAAACTTTAATAAATACATGCCTTCATACAGTTAATAGATACATTAACTTTGAGGCATTCTTAAGGTTTGTAATTATACAATTTATAGTATTATTTCGGTATTAATATATTATTCTTAATATTTATTTATTGATAATTGATTCTTTATTATTTATCTATTTACTTACCAAATTTGAAGACGATTCTCTTCCTATGATAGATCGTTGCCAGAATACTTCAGCTGAAGAAAACCATGCAAGCTTTGGCTTGTATACATCATCTGCACCGGCACCACTTTTTTTTTAATTTTTGAACCTTTTGCAATTCCTTGCGGTAGGTATCACGTAAACTTTTTATTTTTTTTTTCAAAGAATCAAGTGATCCTGGCAAATCTGACATGTGTAAGTTGTCTAATAGTTTGTTGTACGACACCTCTTTAAAATTTCTATTTAAATAGTCTTTCGACGTAACGTCCCACAAACAAGGATAATTTTGAAAAACGTTTAAAAATGTTATTATTTGTTTTGTAGTCCACTTTAACTCAGACATTATTAATAACTTTAATTATATTAATTAAAAATTATAAAAAAGTCACAATTAAAACAACTTCACAAAAAACCACGTGCTTTCTCGTTGCTGATAGACGCAATAGTGGTCAGATTGCGCTGCCGGCTGGTGCCAGCGGTCACGTGATTGATTATTCGCCGCTGCCTGCTACCAAAAGTTAAACATGTCCAACTTCGTCAGCCGCTGACAAATACTCGCCGGCTGGTGACGCCAGCGCTGAATTTTGTTGTCACATCAAGCTGATCGACGGCTGGCAGAAGCGGGTTCTTCAACTCGCGGCTGGCAACCAGCATAATGTGACCCGCGCTTGAGCGGCCGTCCTATCGGAAATATTTATACTCGAAACAGGGTAAATATATGTATCATTTTAAACACAGAACACACAAGCGTAATGTACAGATAAGAAAACGGTACAGAGACACGTCCCATCGCGATTGCCACTATAGTGTGTACAATATTCGAAACAAAAACGTATATTGTCAATGTAATCAGAAATATAACTTTTATTTTCCCGGCAATTGTATGCGTACACGTGTACATTAGACAACTATACAGTTTTTATTTTTTATTTTAATAATATGCACTGATGGGCTAGTCGTGTTTGGAGATCTGAAGAAGTATTGCTTAGGGAACACCAATGGGCAATGATAAAGGCCGAGTGAATTACTGAAAAAAATATTATGATAAAGTTCGGAACGCACATGTGGCGGAGTGCGATTACTCGAGTTTTGCCTTTTCGGGTATGACGATATTCGGGTCCTTTTCAGTCAGACCACAGTGCCAGAATAACGAAGAACACTATTTTGATTATTGAAAGGCATGGTTTGCCCGTGAAATTGGATGCGACATAGTCAAATTGTTTATAACAAAGTTCAGTTAATTCATAATTATTTTTAATATTTCGATACAGATACAAATACTTCCATGCAGGGAGTAATTTTAATACGTATAAGGCGGTTTACACACATGTGAAGAATGAAATTTTCCTAAGTAATAACCCTGTTTCACTGTAGTAGTAATTTTTTAATTCCCTTCCGCTACATTATAATTATGTAAAGTGCCAAAAAAATTGATTACCTACTCTATTACTTCGATTGGCATAATATGTTGTATAACAATTTTTAAGACATTTAACAACACAGAAATATTTTCCGGTTGCAAAATAGTTGATTCATCTTGTTTATGCCAAAAAATTATACTATATTATATTATATTGTATATATATTATAGTATTTTGGTAAACTTAATTATATTTTATATTATATTATAGGTACTAAGATTAAATAGTCTTCGTCGCACATACACCAACGTCCCACATGCACAATATAATATGCAATATAGGTATATTAAATATCGTGAAATTCATGAAAAAAATTATAAATAATT